GCTCGAAAACTTCGGAAGCGACGACAGGCGCGACAGAGGCCTGCTCCAAACCTCACCTGCTCGACTTCTGAATTCCCACGGTCGGCAGACGATAAAACGGAATATTCCCGCGGACGGGGGAGTGGTGACGATTCAGTGACGAATGCGGTTGGCAAAGAAGAAGAAAACTCGTGAAAAGTTACGGACTCGGAAACATAGAACCTTTTGTTCGCCTCTGAAAAGAGAAGAGAAAGAAATGAAGAAAGACCTAGTGAATACAATGTAGATAAGGCACAGTCTCTCTGCCTTCGCACAACGCTGAAATTTGCCCTCAGGGGTTTTCGAGGCACTGTGGGGTACGACTTTGCACCCTGTTTTGTGTTAAGGACTTGCGAAATCCACATTAGCTATAGCTTATAGTTTTGCATGTTTCTTATGAATGTCACGCCTCCATCCATGGACTCCCATCTCGTTCTTTATTCAAGTGACACTGAACAGTCTTTATAAAGCTTTTCATAAATTTAGGGAAGGATTAAGATGGTTTATTGCTGTGAATAGAAATTCCAAAAGTTCTGCCAATAACTGTTATAGTCAAGTACTTCGTGCTCCGATACGAACACAAAGCCTTAAAACGGGGATTTAAGACACTTTTTATTCTCAGTACCCTTACAATTTCTGAAAATTGTGAAGAAGTCTATTTTGTTCACCGTATTGAGTGTACAAGTCAAAAGATTATTATAGTGACTTGAGATGTGTCTCTACTGCCAGGTGCCCTACTATTCCCGGGTATCCTACCTAATACCAAACCCAGATGCCTTTCAAGTCCCTCCCCCCTCCCACACCCACCCTTTCTGTTCGTTTGTTGTTTTGTTTTTGCTTGTTTGTTTTTTTACCTTCTTCCGATGGAGATCTGATTTACGCATTTATTAGCTCGCTATTAAGCCGTGCTCGCTATTCATTCACCACGTGTGAGTGTGTGCGTATGTGTGTGTGTGTAGCCTTGTTGTGTGTGTGTCTGTGTGTGTGTGTGTGTGTGTGTGTGGGTGTGTGTGTCTGTCTGTCTGTGTGTATGAGTGTTGGTGTGTGTGTGTGTGTGTGTGTGTGTTTGTGTGTCTGAGGTTTGTGTGTGTGTGTGT